ACACACACGTTACACACACACACACACACCACAAACGATAATCGACATGACGTCACATGGAGAACACTGACCTCTGCTGCAGCTGCTGAAGAGACTCGTCCACAGCATCACCTCCGTCTGCGACCTACACACACAAAACTATTTTATTCAACCGCCGTAAAATGTAGAATATAAGTCACACTAAACAACTTCAGCCCTGCTCAAAACTACCAAACATTCAATCATTTTTATCTGGCATTTAAAGGGTTAAATTCCTGATAATTATTCAATGTTTGGTTGTTTTGAGCAGGGCTGAAGTTGTTTAGTGTGACTTATATTCTACATTTATTTTTATCTCTGTCTCTTTTTTTTTTATGCAAAACAAAAGTAGAAAAAAATATCAATCTGTTCTATTTTTATATCAGTTTTTTGGAAGTGGACATTTTTGTCCTCAGTGACTTCAGAGGGTCGTAAACATGTTTCAGTGTTCTATTGATCGATTAAAAAAATTAAAATGCGCATTCCAAAATGTGTCAAGAGAAACCAGGTGAAGAGGAAACTAGGGGTGCAGAAATGCAAAATGTTCTCTAATCGATGACTCTTCCCGCTGTTAAAGCGAGTACTCGAATAATCGTTTTGGAGTATTTTTTTTTTCTGTGATTCTTTTCCCCCACGGGAGGCCCCGCCCCCAACTATGACACCATGCCGGCTGTATCTATTGATTAATTTGAATCTTCGGGATTTTAATAATTGTTAGTAAGAGGTCTTTGTATTAACATTCAAATATAACATTTCTTACTTCAACAGACAACAAACCTCAAATAAACCTTCACACAGACGTGTTCTGAGCGTTTTAACACTTGATTATAATCAGAGCAGTGAGTGTGGCGAGCAGACGTGCAGACATCAATGCACTCATCGCACGTTGAAGCTGTTTTGACAGAAACATTGTGTTAACAGAGACTCCAGTCTGCAGTGTAGAGCACACTTTACTCAGGTGAATGAAGTTACAATAGAACAGGTGAACTGTTTCATCTTTCTCCTCTGTGAGTAATGACACACTCGCTCAAACTCGCTCGTCCGTCCGCTATGAGCTCTCTCTCCCTGTAAGGTTGTTCTGTTTTGTAGTTATTAAAAGAATAATCATGTAAAATTCCAAAATATATGAAAACATCGTGTTATGCTGCTCTGTCCTGGAGGATCAAACGTCTTTGGTTTGTCGGGGTAAAGCGGTAATCACTGAAGTGAAAGTCCTTCTTTTGTGGACTGAAAAGACAATTTGAACTGAACTCTCGTAGATCATTTTGCATATTTCGTTTGTTTGGGACTTTCTGTTCATTGTGAATTCATTGGGGGGTTAATTAAAGGGATATTTATGTTAGGGTAGCAGCGTACGGATCAACAACGGACGCGTTTCAGCACAGAGCTTTTATCAGCTCTTTGTTTGTCATCTATTTTCTTTTTGCGCTCGTGCACCTTTTTCCTGTTTTGAATTAGGCCGATCCTAGAACCCACAATGCATCAAGAAACATTTACAAAAATGTGGACTACAAAACGATTATCGATTACATTTGATTTGTAACCGATTATTATTTAATGAACGAGTAGTCGGGTACCCGAGTACTCGTTTGCACCCGTAGAGGAAACATGAGGGTTAAAGGCACGAGGGAGAGGGAAGAGATGGTGCAGCCTGACCGGTCTGTGTCGACCAGATGTCAACACATCTTTTAATCGCGTCAGGTCGCGCGCAGTGCGTGACGGTGGCGGCTGCACTCGAGGTAATAACGATGCGTGTGTCTGCATTTTATGCTGGTATATTGGTCACACCGGTGTTTAGGCGCAGCCAACTCTTAGATCAATCAATCAGTTTCTATTTGTATAGCGTCAACTCATAACAAGTATTATCTCGAGACACTTTACCATGTTGATGAAGAAATAGGTATTAAAAGTGCGTCTTAGGGAAACTTTATTTATTAGACTCGATTATGACACATCGAGAAAACAGAATCTATTTTTTAGCTCAAAATGAGGTCGACAGAATCTATGATAAAGTAGCCCCTCCCCCAGGTGTCACACAGCAGGGGGAGGGGTTACTGCCCTTTGTGATGTCATGAAGGGGAAAAAAAATCTGTTTCTCCATCTCCTTGCTGAAACATGACACACTGTTGTGAACGCTCCCCGGCTCGTCTCTGACCTTGGCGATGAAGCTGTTGGAGCCGAGCAGCTGAGCCATGAAGGAGACGCAGAGGAACTTGAAGTGTCGCAGCTCTTTGCTGCTGTGAGCCTCCACGCTGAAGATCAGCTCCTCCACATTCTCCTCCTCCTCGCCCTCCTTCTTCTTCTTCGCTCCTCGCCGGACGACGGGGCGTTTCACCGGCGCTGCAGAGAGGAGAGAAACATCAGGAGTCAAAATCTACAGAGCATCTCCTTCAGTCAGAGAGATTATTCTTAAGTCAAAACCTCAGATACAAACGGTTGAGTTTTCAAAGTTTTAGTTACGATTAGAAAGAATGACACCATTCAAGTGTGTCGTCTCAAACACGTGTAAAATCTTTGTTTCTCACCGTCGTCTTTGTCGTCAGGAAGCTGCAGCAGGAAGTTCAGGATGCTGACGAGGGAGGTCAGCTGATCGGACACCTCGAACTGACAGCACAGAGAGATCCAGAAATCTACATCTCTCTCCAGAGCTGCATCCTACACACACACACACACACACACACACACACACACACACACACACACACACACACACACACACACACACACACACACACACACACACACACACCACACACACACACACACACACACACCACACACACACACACACACACACACACACACACACACACACACACACACACACACACACACACACACACACACACACACACACACACACACACACACACACACACACACACACACACACACACACACACACACAGAGAACTTTAACAGCCTGGATCATGTTTTAGATTCACACGGAGAGAAGTCAAGGAAGTGATTCAAAATGAAGAGAAACAGGAGAGTTTGAAATGATCAGAGAGAGAAAGCAGCAGCTCACTCCGTCTGTCTGATAACACACTGCACATATATTAAAATAGGTACTGCAGTCTAAATTCTAAACATCATAGAGAGCTGTCTCCCCCCCCCCTCCTCTGTAGAGTGGATGTTCACTCAGGTCACCATGTGGTGGACTCTGAAGCTTCAGTGTTTATCCAGCTCTGCATGGGTCTGTAAACCTTTCTGTGTTCTAACCTCTCTCCATTTTTCAAAAGCATCTCCAATATTGATCCTAGTTTGAGCACGTTGAGAAGAAACACTCAACGGATCACCCTTTAAGAATCGGTTTCCTTGCCATCAGGAGGACTATATCAGGATCTATTCAGGCAGTGTTGTATAATTTCTCCTGCCGCTCTGCAGGACCTTTTCCAGGAAGTGTAAGATTCTTCTTTTTTTTGTTGGGTGGGTGGGGAGTTAGAAACGTCCCCGTCAACCTTATAGGCGTTCCAAACTTAACCTCTTTAATAAGCTTTAGGATGCACCCAAAGCTACATCCCTGCCATGCCAAGATGACATAATTACTGACTAGATGATTATGTCATCTTGTCAAGTTAGGATCTTGTCAGGCCCAACAGGATTTGTATTACCTGGGGACATCTGGCAATTTGTCAATTACCACCTTAATGTCAGTGTGGTGCGCACATTAACAGTGGTTAAGCATTAAAAGAATGTAAAAGGATACAATTTCTAAATTTGTAATTAGTTGACTTGATCCTGAACTCACTTTGTTACTCATTATCAGCTGACTCATCCTGTGATCATACAGTAAAAAACATCAAAACGTATAAACGCCGTCTTGCCTTCTCGCTGGTGTCGCCGGACGTCTGCGTGGCGTGCAGCTTGAAGAGGAGGAGCATCAGGATCCACAGGAAGTGGGCGGGGCCGAGCGTGGTCAGGAGCTGACTGAGGATCGGAACTCGACGGTGATCCGGCACGTGAGGAAGAGCGTCGGCAAAGACGTGCATAATCCTCGTCACCACGGAGACCACATGAGAGGAGGAGCTGCCGTCAGACAGCTGGTGGGCCTGAGGAGGAGGAGAGTGAGAGGAGGAGGAGAGTGAGGAGGAGGAGAGTGAGAGGAGGAAGAGAGTGAGAGGAGGAAGAGAGTGAGAGGAGGAAGAGGGAGAGGAGGAGGAGGGAGAGGAGGAGGAGAGTGAGAGGAGGAAGAGGGAGAGGAGGAAGAGGGAGAGGAGGAGGAGGAGAGGAGGAGGAAGTGAGAGGAGGAAGAGGAGAGGAGGAAGGAGAGTGAGAGAGGAGGAGAGGAGGAGGAGGAGTGAGAGGAGGAAGGAGAGGAGAGGAGGAGGAGTGAGAGGAGAAGAGGAGAGGAGGAGGAGGAGAGGAGGAGGAGAGTGAGAGGAGGAAGAGGGAGAGGAGGAGGAGGAGAGGAGGAGAGGAGAGGAGGAGAGGAGGAAGAGGAGTGAGAGGAGGAGAGGAGGAGGAGGAAGAGAGGAGGAGAGGAGAGGAGAGGAGGAAGAGGAGAGGAGGAGGAGGGGAGAGGAGAGGAGAGTGAGAGGAGGAGGAGAGTGAGGAGGAGGAGGAGAGTGAGAGGAGGAGGAG